CATAAGGATCAATGAAACCAAATGCGTTCGTGAAGACAGCTTTTTGTCTTTTGGCGTCAAAGGAGACAAGCTGAGGTGATTGTTCCACCGAAGCAGTTGGCCTGGGCATGGGATTCTCCGGATTAGTGAGTCCGATAGCCTTGAACATGCACCCCAGTATAGACTCCCTAAACACTGTAGCTTCATCGATAGATTCTTGGCGGTGGAGGGTTTTGGGACGTAGCGAGGGAGACGCGAAAGGGTTGAAATTGCTGGCTTCCAGCGGTGTGCGGATGTCACGACGGTCCTGTTGATGTTGATATGGCTGAGAAAAGCTGCTACGGCCGCTGCGACCGGTTCCACGCGCCATCTGCGAGTTGGTCAACAGATCACCTGCGCTGATCCGGTCGTTGCGCGGTCCCTGGTCCGGTGATGTGATCTTGGGTAATACTTGGTTACTTATGTTAGTATTGGCCCCGCGCGCGGCGGCAAGCCGGGCCTGTGCAGCTGTTCCTCTTCTCAAGGAGACACTGGATCTCCGTCGGCGACCAGCTCCAGGGTTATGCAATGCTATTCCCTTCATGCCCTCGTCTGAGCCAATACGTTCCGTTTCCTTTGCAAACTTCTCCTTGAGTCGTTCGAGAGGAGCATCACGTAGGAACCCTGGAAGATCGTAGGTGGTGTACTTGTTCATGAGCTTTTCCGTACGGAGGACCTCATTCGTCAAACTAAGGTAAGCATGGCTGGTTGCAAGAGTAACTCTCTGGAGCCGCGTGAGGATGACCTGAACAATGTGCGCCGTCGCTTTAGGGTATATGCGCGTTAGTCGACGAAATGCAGTAGCCGGAATGATAGCGATGGTTGTGTCTACGGTTGCGCGCGCGACAATATCTGGATGGGCAGACTTGGGTTTCGCAGGACGCGAAGGTGATCCTCGAGTTTTGCTGTGCTTGATACGCTCGTCACCGAAGCCATCCAAATCCAACGATAGGGGCGGTACACTTTGAAGTCGACCGCCTGCTGTCGGACTGTTTAAAGTCGATGTTCTTCGATGCCGTATTTTGGCCTCAGGGACTTCGTGTGGAGTGTGCGGCCTCGAATCGTCGAAAGCAAAGCTACTGTTTCGCGACATGGATGGTCTTGCTTCTCGTTGAGGTGTCGCCGGCACACTTGGTCGTGGGTCTTCATCTTCGTCATGACGCAGCTTGACATCTTCTGTAAATAGAGAGAGAATGGAGAATAGCGAAGACATTGGTGCTCCATTTTTCACTTCAGTAAGAAGCTGGTAGCCCTGTCGGTGGCGGTCGCCGGGTGATCCCTCGCCCATGTCATCCTCATCAGAATCCGAATCATTCCGATTTGACTTGACAAAGATCTGAACTAAGCCATCTACTACGAGACAGAAGCCTTTCTCTTCTTCCAAGAGAATGGTCTCGCCCGCTACCAACCGGCGAGTCTGCATGGTGCGGGTCAGCTCGTGAAAGACTGGGCGCTCCAAGTAACCGAACACTTTGATCGCGCTCAAGAATTCATCAAGGTAGTTAGACAAGCCCCTTTTGGAGTCGCTCTCGGCACTGTCTGGAAAGACCTCGACTTGTGGTTCTTCACGCTGCGGCTCAGGCGGTAGTCGTGCGTACATAGTCATGTATCTATACCTTACGAAGTAGCTGACGGTAGATACAACGAAGACGACAACGAGCATCCTGTAGAAGTTTAGCTAAGCACCATGGAGAAGGCCGGCGACGTACAGAGTTGTGAAGTTCATTGTAAAGGTCAAGCTCATTGAAAAGAGCGTGAACAGCCATGTCGGTAGGGTATATGTGACCCAGTACAGAAGGGTAGGCAGTACACTGAGAATGGATAGAATAACACGCCCTAAGAGACCAAAGCTGGTCGACGGTGTAGTATCGGCGGGTTTCATGCCGAGCACAGAGTTGGATATCGCCTCTGCTGTGTTATATACAACTGCTCTGGAGACATCCGCGAGTGACCGAGACGTGGCAGTTCCTGGAACTGCCATGGAGGCCATGGTGGGCGAAGAGAGATCAGTACCGAATTCGGACCGTCACGAGCAAGTGTTTCCAGAAATTTCTAGAGTTGCTAATCTAGGGCGGTAGAGTCAGGACTCCCATGATGAGCCGTGCTGTGGGCACGTTGAAAACCGCGGGTATGTACTGGGGGACACTTGCATGTGGGGGGCCAGCTTGTGAAAGTGCGCCCGTGCATCGATTAGCGCGGAAGTCGCGAAACTCCACCGCGGTAGGCCTGGAGCTCTCACTCGCGCGCCGGAGCTTGTCAATACACCTCACCAATTGCGCCACGATGCCGCCTTTTAAAGATGACCAAATTATCGTGAGTCTCACGTGCCAGTCTCATGTAGCGTAAAAGCGCTAACCCCATCAGATCATTGCGCCTGGCTCCGAGACCACAGTCGCGCAGCTGGGCCTTCCCGAGTCCTTCACTCCAGCGCGTCTGCGCGTGAGATCGCGCATGTTCCCTGCCGAGAAGGAAGGTGAATTCGAGCCCTACAAGATTCGGAGAAAGCAGGATCAGCCCGCCGCGACGAATGGCGAACCCAAAGACGAATCGCAGGAAGAGAAGAAGCCAGCCGAAGGCGACGATGAAGTTGTTTGGGAAGAAGACCGTGTGTCAGAGGAAGGCGCGATATGGCCCATTCAACAAGGCAAAATCGTTGACTGGCCATGCTTCTTTGCCCTCATCACCCATACCTACAACTCTCTGAACCCGCCCTTCCACACACCGATCCTGCTTATCACCCAACCGGCGTGGACCCCACGCGAGCACGAGAAACTCACCCAGTTCTTCTTCGAGAAATTCAAGGTGCCAGCTTTCGGACTGATGGATGCGGCACTAGCGACGACATGGGCATATGGCGTACATACAGCGACAGTCATCGATGTGGGCAAAGACAAAGCAGACATCACTGCTGTGAGCGAGTTCATCCCGCACACACAGGGCAGGGTCATCTCCTTGGAGGGTTGCGGAGGCGAAGCCTTCACTCAAGGGCTTTTGTCTAAACTGAAATCCAAGGGACTCAACCGCGATATGTGTGAGCAACTCAAGAGGTCGCCGATTTGCGAGCTGTTACCTCCGGGAACACCTTTACCAGGACCGGGAGATGCCCCCACAAAGGACGCCCCTACAAACCCTGCAGCAGTTGCCTCGACCGGTGCGACTGGACCTGGCCCAGCTGCAGCAGCCTCGATCGGGAACGTGCCACGAGGCCCTGGCATAGATACAGAAGTTGGCGAAGACACTAGTCTCGAAGAGAGCGAAGGTGTCTTGGACGTGGCAAGCATTGTGGCCGGCGGCAAGATGTCTGAGTACCTCGCCAAGAAGGAGAAGGAGAAGCAGGAGAAGGCCAATGCAAAGAAGAAGGGTGGTCCGGCCCCGACAGCCAATAAGCCGGTCAGGTTACCTAATTCCCGACTGGAGAAGGCCACATTCTTGTACGAGGACCACGCGCTTCTGGACACCTTGAAGAACATGAACCTCAATACCCAGGAGATGGCAGATGCGAAGGGCGCCCTGGACGAAGGCCCAAACAGAAAAGGACAAGAGAACGGGGAGAATGGCGACCCTGCTTCTGCAACTGAAGCAAACGGTACTGGTGAATCTGGTCCTACCGGTAAACGAACAGGATCAATAAGACGCGAGATTGAGGTTGGCACCGAGCGATTCATGGCTGATGGTGATGGTACATTGGAGAAGATTGCAGATGCCGTGCACAGGGCTATATCGTCTATTGACGAGGTTGGCAAAAGAAGTGACCTATGGGAACAGCTCATCGTGTGTGGCAATGGATCAAAGCTGCGAGGTAAGTTTCGACCTTGTTCTGATTGTTACAACGCGTATGCTAACATCTACATAGGCTTCAAGGAGTCCCTGCTCCAGACGATCCAGACCAAGTATCTGGTCTCGCCCTCTTCTGCCACGATTTTCACATCTGAGATCCCATCCAATGTCTCAACGCCTCTTGGAACCGGAGCGAACACACCGCAGCCCCAGCTCGGCCCCCACGGCGGCTCGCAAGTCAATCCGCTCCTGCTTGCAGCAACAACCGCGCAGACACAACACATGATGCCCCATGGAGGCATTCCTGGCATGTCGGGCAACACCCACTCATCGCACGGCCAAACGCCCACTACGATCAAGTTCATCAAGCCACCGGAGTATTTCCCCGAATTCAAAGACGTCGGTTTCGACGAGTCGGCCTTCCTAGGTGCTCAGGTCGCAGCAAAGGTCATCTTCGTAGTCGACCAGGGTCAAAGTAAGGGCTACATGACACGCCCTGACTACAACGACCAGGGACCACAAGGTATCCATGACTACAGCCTGTAGTTTAGGAGATGAATTAGCAATGTGTTACTTTTCAAACCAGCCATTTTGGAGTTTAGGCACGGTTATGGATATCCCGGCGTTGCCAAAAAGGAAAGCTTGGGGTAAAGTTTGGTCCAACAGGCGATTGCACATGTGTAGCGATAGGCGAGCGACGCATCGCGAGATGCAACCCTTCAAATTCATTTTCATGACCACTTACAAGCCACCTCTTTCGTTTTCGCCTCGACAAGATTGTGGAAGTGAAACGCCCATTTGTTGCTTCTGCTAATTGGCATCGGAGTACGCCGATCGCCCTGGCGGCTTCGCTCCGCTCCCCACGTGCTAGACATTAGCGAGCAGCTAACCGGATCTAGCCGTCCTTACCTATGGCAACTGATACAGATAAGTACTGCCTGTGCCACCCGGCTCCTGTTGCTCTTGTCTTGATCGTCTTCTTGATTCTTATGCCAAACTTCTGACGGCCCCTATTTGTGCGAATCTTGAATACGTTACGCTTACATCCCTTATCACAGAGTTCTCCACTTGGATCCGCGTCTCGGTACCTGCTCCGATCTATTGCCGCGGCTAGAACACGTCTTCACTTCTACGAGCTGGAAAGCCGAAACTTGTTGCTTGAAGAGGAGGAATTTCTGAACAGCAAAAGACATACAAACTTCAACATGGCAGCATCAGCACCGATATCGAAATCCATCTACATCGGCCCCTTTGTTCACAGTAAATCACTCTCTGAACTTGAGATCCAAGAACATGGCGCAATCGGCGTAGATGAAGATGGCATAATCCGTTTTGTCGAACGGAATCTACAAGATGGTAGCCTTTCCAATCTGATCCAGCAGAAGGGAGATGACTGGACTGATGCGCAGATTGTTGAGATAAATGGATCTGGTTTCTTCTTCCCCGGCTTTATAGATACACACGTCCACGCACCTCAACATCCCAATACCGGTCTTTTCGGAAAGACTACGCTGCTAGATTGGTTACAAAAGTACACCTTTCCCATGGAATCTTCGTTCAAGAACGTTCCTCTCGCACACCGTGTGTATCAGAATTTCGTTTCGCGGACATTATCGCATGGCACAACGACTGCTGCATACTTCGCCACGATCCATGTGCCAGCCACCAACGCCCTCGCAGATATATGTCTGAAGCGAGGCCAAAGAGCCCTGGTTGGCAGGGTGTGTATGAACAGCGACCTAAGCCCCGAGTACTACAGAGACGAGAGTGTAGAGAGCAGTTATGCCGATTCAAAAGCTAGTATCGACTACATACGCTCCATCGATCCAAAGGGCGAGATCGTGAAACCCATCATCACACCCCGTTTTGCGCCTAGCTGTACAACAGATTGTCTCTCCGCTATGGGTAGACTAGCGAAAGAGACGGATGCGCATGTTCAAACGCACATTTCGGAGAACAAAGGCGAGATTGAGCTTGTCAAGGAGTTATTCCCGGAGAGTAAGAGCTACACGGATGTGTACGAGACACATGGGTTGTTGACAGATAAAACGATCTTGGCGCATGCAGTGCATCTTTCAGACGAGGAGAGGAAGCTGATTTTGGAGCGGAAGAGCAAGATCTCTCATTGCCCAGCATCAAATACGGCTATAACCTCTGGATGTGCACCCATCAGATCACTGCTCGATGAAGGACATACAATCGGTCTTGGAACGGATGTTTCGGGTGGTAACTCGCCATCGATATTGGAGAATGTGCGACAGGCGATATGGGTGTCGCGACATCTGTGTATCCAAACTTCGAGCGATTCTGTGAAACTCTCGACGGAGGAAGCTTTGTATCTCGCTACGAGAGGCGGTGCAGCGGTTGTAGGGATGGAAGAGAAGGTTGGCGGGTTTGAGGTTGGGAAGGAATGGGATGCGCAGATGATCAGCCTCGGCGTTGTTAGTGAGGAAGGTTGCCAGGATGGTGCGTTTGAAGAGGGTCCGGTGGACGTATTTGGATGGGAGAGCTGGTCGGATAAGGTGGAGAAGTGGGTGTACAGTGGTGATGATCGGAACACGGTGGCGGTATGGGTGAAGGGTCGGCTTGTACATCGAACAAGTCGGTATCCTGGTGTCATGAGAGACGCAACACCTTGATCCGATGTAATATTCATGCTTACAGCTTCTTTGGGCTCGAACTGAATCGAATTGATCATTCCGTAGTTTGCCTTCCATAGTTTGCATGCCTCCCTGTGCTGAAACAAGTCGCGCTTCCGACGCGCTTGACATGACTGTAAAACGTTTTGTCGTGGTTTGTGGATACCTCAATCGAATCGAATTGATTACTTCGTAATTCGTACGCTCCAGCGTGCTGCGGCAAGCTGGTTGTCGAGCTCCCACCAAGCCCACCTGACACCCAAAGCGTCCGACATGATCATAGCACATTCTCTTATGGTGCTGGTTTCCCGCTGTGGCGTGCAAGCCCAGGTGTAATGCAGTAGTTTGATGAGCAGTTCCTGAGGTTTAATGTTGTAGTCGATGTCGAAGCCGGCTCCATCTCTCACTAGCCCCCACACTCCATAGACTTTATCGAGTATATTTGTTGCTTTGAGATCACAAAAGGAAACCAAATGCTCGATTTGAGTTGCGTAGTCTTTGCCTGCATGATACGACAGTCGTGCACGAATGAGCTTGCTCGCGCTAGAAGTTTTGAAGTCGGTAATGATGTCTGGGAAGTCTGTCGCTCGAAGATGCTGTAGGTCATTGTTCAGATTCTCCAACGCGCGCCAATCGCATTGCCTCGATCCACAAAATACCACAAGGACTTTTGCTACAAACATCTCCTGTACAATCCAAATCCTAGACCAATACGGTCTGTTATAGAGCTTCAATACAGCTTCTGCTTGCTTTCTGCTCCAGGGAAATTCTCCCGGCTTCTGTCCAACGATTATCTGTGCAGCTGCGTGGTCGTAGTGGGCCTCAGGGTAGCCGGCAATTTCACTTGATTTTAGTCCAGAGATTATCTTAGACTCCATACAATCGTAGTAAGCCTCTGGGTAATAAGGACTTTCTCCTGATAGTTGTCCAAGGGTTGTCTGCGCAGCCATGTGGTCGTGGTAAGCCTTGGTATACTGTATACTGTTGTGCCAAGGGTGAGGGGTAACTTCCACAAGTTGTGACCGTTGGCTCAAAAAGTCCATAGCTATGTCGCTGGTCGACTGTCTATCTGCATCGCCCAGCCAGATTGAGACAGACTGGGCATTGCTGTAGATATGTCGCATCATTTGGACCTGATGATTACGCTCCAAAACACTCTCTTGATCAATGCAGATAGCATCAATCCAGTACACGCAGAATCGCTCTTGTAGGCGCATCTCCTCTAGGAATGACCAGAGGCTGTAGCCAACCGGGAATGACACCCCATTGAGCTCGATATTCTTTGGTTTTACTTTTGGGCCCCAGGTGTAGGATAACGCTGTGTATGGTGGCGGATTTGAGTCGAACGCGTAGGTGCAAAGGGTGCACCTGATAGGATCAGAGCGCTTGCTGGGATGCAATTCGACCAATCTAAACTCCCGGCTTCCCTCATGCCGACTGAGCGTCGCGTCGGCGTAAGGACCGCTCATGCTGGCAAGTGTTATCTGAATATATAGGCTGATGATTACGACTCCTTTTCGTTCGAGCATACAAATGCTGATGTATGCAAAGACGTCCTGGAGGTACTCCCAAAGCACTGAGCGGGTAAGGAATCGCGAATGCGAGACGATCGCGTTACCCTCGCATGGTTGTGCAACGGGGAGCTTGACTAAGAACGTGTGAAGGCTTATTGAGCATGGACTTTCTGAATAATTCACATAAAATGACACGGCTTGAGTGATGGGAAGTGATGAAGTAGTAGACAGATATGAACCATGAAACAGAAAAAAGGGAGCATAGGGCGCGGATGCAGCAAGTGACTATGTTGAACAAAGCTGCAGATATTATTGGTGCAGCCATGCCAGCCGTGAAGCATATGGCGCAGTGATCAGGCTATGAGAGGTGCTGGTCTCGACAGCCACAAGAGAGCTGAAGTGGGGCTGAGCTTAGACCTTCACGCGATCGTCTCAGCTGAGCGAGCTCATGCGACTGCGCGCATCGTCGGGAACCTCTGCAATACAAGGCTCACAAGTTGACAGGGAGATGATCTGGCTTCAACGGTGACGAGTGTTGTAGTGTGGGAAGGTTTGTTTGTGAGTGGACAGCGCACAATTTTGAGCGCAGCGGTGGCGAGACTGTGCCGGAAAGTACACGTGATGTGGCTCGAAGTCTCACTCAGGGCTGCAACCTTCATTGGTGAGCCATATCAACCTCCAAAGACATGACAACGCGATCAGGCACGTCTCTAGGCAGCCCTAAAGGGGTTGAGGTGGGTTGGAGTCTAGAACCTTCCCGCGAGGTCCTGCCGTTCCAGCTGGACTCACCATCGCGATTACTACGACGCGACATCCTCACATGAATGGAGCGCATGTATAGGCATCGTGGATGGAAAACTGAGTACGTGTGCGCTCGCATCTTCGCCTGCCTCACGGAGAAATTTCCTGCGGCACCTGCCGACGGCTCAGCACGCACCGTTCTCTGTTCATAACACGGGAAGCCGCGTGCGACTGAAACGCCCAGCCTCATGTGGATGGTATCCACGAAACAAACGTAGCAATTCTCTCCTCGAGCACGAATCTTGCATTACGAAATGAGGATTCAGAACAATCCTGCTTCGGTTTGTAATGTCCGATTAGACCCACCACTCATAGGGCGCAACAGGGTCACGATCGTACATGAATTAATACGAATTACGGATGTACAAACAATATAGTATAATAGGGTTGAGCTACAGTCTCTTGGTAAAAGAGAATACCAACCACTTACATTCGTTTCGTTTCTGCTTTCTACGTTAACTTCATTGTCATTCGTTTAGAAAATCACCATGGTGAACTTCAATTCCATCGTCGCATTTTCGACATTTGGTCTGGGTGCGCTGGCACACCCAACCATCAAGCACATTGACAGGCGCTTCTGCTCCCTCGAGGAACGCAGCGTCTTTGCCCGTGCCGAAGACCTTACTTCCCGCGCCACTATCCCCAAAGCGACAACATGGAATCCGCCCTCTAGCATGACCACTGGTTTGGATCAGGTCTGGAAGCAGACTATGAAGGAGAATCCGCAAGGCCTCCAGGACAAGAACTGGATCACCGACCAATGGATCGCCAACAACGGCAGTATCAACTACTGCGTTCGCTGGAACCACTCAGGCAAAAGCACTGCGACTGCGCGTGCCTCTACTGTCAAAGCCCTACAGCGCTCGATGCAGAAGTGGTTCGATATACTCGTTGGATTCGAAGGCTTCCCGCTCACTGAACTCAACGTCGACGTTGTTGGCTACGCCGTCAAGAATAAGAACCTCATCGAAGGCGACACCACCGGTCTCGACATCTATACTACAGCTGATGCCGACGGTGTACCTGAGTGCGACGTCCGCTGCTACCGCGGCGCTCATCTCGATGGCGATTTGAGTCAGTGCCCTGGCGGTGAGGCCAGCCGTTACGACATCAGCCTCTGGCTCGACGAGAGTCTTGAAGGTCAGATGGGTGGTTATGGATACAACTGGGGCCAGGAGATTGGTCCGGACTACTTCCTCAACAACATCGATGAGGAGAACATCCACATCCTGCTTCACGAGATGGGCCACGGTCTTGGTCTTCTAGGTATGTTGCGTACCTATCTTTTAAGAGTTAATACTAACGTTGAACTAGACTTCTACGACTGGGTACCCCAGGGCCAGACCAACTTCATTATGATGGCTGGTAGCGCGATGGAGATTACCGAGTTTGATGCTTGGATGCTAAGGGACTGGTGGAGGAAGTTGAAGGCGGAGCGCAAGTGGTAAGCCATTACGCTTACGGTCTCACCGGTACATCGCGCATACATGCGATAGGAGATTTATGGTTCGTAGTTATCTGCAGCGTCCAGTATCTCGAAGAGAAGGGGTTGGTTCTGTTCTTGTGAATATTTTTATAGCTCGTTATGTTATATAAGCTTTCAATTGTGGTTAACCTCGAAGACTTTAGTAAATTTGATGATCAGATTAGATTGAGCTTTCCACTGCGCACGGATTCTTGGGTGGAAGCCTCGCCGTCCATCAACCCGTAAACAAAACAGTCACCTATCAACCGAAAACCATCTTTCACAGATGTATCACCATGAGCAGAGGAGACTCCATCACTATCCCCCATTTGTCCATCTCCTCGGACTATGAATGGAACTTTGCTGCCCTTAAACACGTACACTCTATCACCTTCAACAGTCGTTCTTGGGCCTATGCCCATGTACCCGGTGCTTGTGAGAAAGAAGCGCCGGGAGGCTGTCACAGTCTTGAGGGCGTGGTGGATTCCAGATATGCCTTCGTCGAGATTAAAGGGCGCCGTGCGATCGATAGTGTCTCGTGAGATACAACGAGACCACATTCTCCACGCTTCATATGCGTCATGATCGTCACTTGTAGCTCGACGGTAAGAGCCTTTCGTCCCGTGAGCATTCGGAGCAGCGCCCGTATATATTAGGTCTCCGATCAATGTCCGCCAGAAAACATCTTCGCAAGGCTCTCCAGTAGGATAAATCTTGTCGACTCGTTCGAAGAGTTTGGTAAGCAGCTTCCATGTACGTATCACGGCGCATGTGTCATTGATCTGTGTATGTCGGCTGACTTCGCCAACCGTCGAGACATGATCAATATACAGAGCATCGACCTCCAACACGTGATTCTCTGGGTGGTAAAGGAAAGCGCCTTCATGCTTGTCGCTAGCGTTGTACAAGTGCAAGGATCCAACTCTTTCTATCTCGGTTGGAAGGCATGGAAGTGACCAGTCCATCACCCAGGACGGGAGGCCTTCCAGTCTTTTTCGATTGAGGACAGCTTCAAGATCTCCTGCAAGGACTGATAGTGAACCTGCTCTTAACAGGTTGCTCAATGTGGTTTGAGTAAACGTCGTCGCAGCATCGTTGCTATAATCGGGAACTAGAGCTGGTAATTCTTGCCAATCTGTGGTGAGTCCAAAAAGAGCGAAAATTTTATCTCGTTTGTCGGTCGCTTGTAGAGGCCTAAATTTCCATAATAGATCTAACAACGTCGCGTTGTCTAAGCTGCTATGATGACGAAGTCTTGTTTCCTCGATGCGAAGCACGAAATCGCTGAATCGATCCAAGATATCTTGACCATGGCGCGTGCCAGCTAAGTCCAGACATAGCATGTGACGCTGTTGGACATAGTTCACAGCGGCTTTAGCAAACATTGACCATGGTGCCGAAAGCGGGCCGTAATGTACTGTGGCATTTCTTGAGAGTACGGTCTCTTGAACCACCCAAATTCGCTGCCACTAGCATTTATATCGTCAGCTTGTGTCAGATGATGAGATCGGAGAGAGGCACCCAAGCCATGCTCATCAACTTTGCGAGACCTTCCCATACCCTAAGAGACAGCAGTTGACGCCAATGGGCGTTTGTGACTGTGAATGCATGCCTCCTGGGATGTTCGATCTGATCCAATATAGTGGCTTTGTTGCGATCCAGTAATTTAAGTAGAGGATACAAAGTACCTTCGGCAAAATCCTGGATCAAACAAAACGCACCAAAGATGTCCGGCCCTGGACGTGTCGAAGACACTGCAGAAGCAGCGGATTGCTCTGCTGTGCACGAACCCTCGAAATCGAGGATGAACGAATTCCGTAGCAAATGATCGTTTGAATCACCTTTCCATGCTATTCTAGAAGTAGGATCGTTCGAGAAGCAGGCAACAACTTCCTCATTAGGCATTGGTTCGCCTAGCCAAATAACCGTCTCGCGACTGTTGCTGTATATTTCACCCATCATGCCCACCTGTTGAGTACGCTCCAGAGGATCTGCTTGGTTTATACACAGAGCATCAGCCCAAAGCAGAACTGTATGGTCAGGCCGTCGAAGTTTGCGCAGAGCCGTGAATAGATTCCGGGAGATTGGAACAGGTTTTCCATTGCATGATATCAGTACTTGACGGGCGACACCTTCAGAACCCCACGTGTACGAGATGGTGATATAACGCCTTCGAACCCGTGCAATGGAGGCTACTTGGAGCTCCGCACAGACATCATCTTCCCAGGTGCCGGGTTGGAGATGCAGCACACGGATCGTACGCGATTTGGCATCGAGTGGTACATAGATGTCGCTGGTAGTCTTCTTGGAGCGTCTTTTGAACTTTGACACGATGCGTTGAGCCATGGTTGTGAATGAAGTATGGATTGTAATCATTCAGCTGAGAAAGTTACATGGTTGCGGTTCGTAATCGCTTGACTCAGCCACTGACAGAGCGGGGCGCTGGAATTGGGGTAGCGGCCATCTCGACACCCGAAGCTGACAGTCGTGGCCCCGGAATCTCGTGGTGGTCATAACTCTGACCTCCTCGGAACATTGCTGATCTGCACTATCGACATTCGATGAATGATGGGGTGACAAATTTAGCGTTGATTTGAATGTCAGCCATGACGTCATTCGCGCACGATCCCGAATGTTCCGTGTCTTGTGGCCTCGAGCGCTTGAGATCGACGCGTCTCCATCACGCGGCAGATGGCGCTTCCAATGGCCAACTTACTCAACGACATTGTTTTGAGACTGTCTTCTGTTTAACAGTAATAGATTGAATTCGCACTACAAAGATGGCGCACGAAGGGCCTAGCGTCCGCGAAACAAGCTTGTGACGAGCTATCGGAACAGCTAGCTCGTGCTTAGCGGTGTGGAAAAAGGTAAGAAAGACGAACGGGTGGCGCCCCGTGGGCGTCTCCGTGCCAGCTATGTGAATGATCGACATGCCTTTGTACCTTGTTTTAAAGCTGGCATGCCTCAGACGCGTCGGGAATTGCTCCGTTATCAGGACTCTATTCTTCTCTTGATAGTAGGATATGCTGTTGATGAACTTCCGTCAATCTGCAGTCGCGCTTTTAGCTTCCGCGCGCCTGGTTCTGACTTCCACCAGCAGCGAGCATGACCAGTTCAAAGACGTGACTTGGGATGACCAGAATTGGGTTATAGCGACACATGCTCTGGATCAAGGCCACTACCAATCGCGCTTGACGCTCGCAAATGGTTACTTTGGCGTTAATGTGGCATCCGCAGGTCCTTTTTTCGAAGTCGACGAGCCAGTAAATGGCGACGTCATAAGCGGATGGCCATTGTTCAGCAGACGACAGACTTTCTCGACGATCGCAGGCTTCTGGAACAGCCAACCACGAACAAACGGATCAAACTACCCTTGGCTATATCAGTATGGGTGGGAAAGCTTTACTGCAGGTATTCCACACTCGAGCGGCCTGGCTGTTGAAGCGAACGGCCATTTCTTGAATGCGTCGGTCAATCCCGACCACATTTCGGATTTCGTATCGAATCTGGACGTAAAAGCTGGAATAGCGAGCTGGCGATATAACTGGAAGCCGGGAGGCTCCGGAGACGGAACTGTCGATGTGGACTATCAGATGTTCGTGCACAAGCTTTACGTCAACAAAGCAGCTGTCAGGCTAAGACTTACGGCGACGCGCGATCTGAATGTAACGGTCTACGATGTTTTAGACGGTGATTGCGCTGTTCGCTCAGACTTTGTCGACAAGAAGTTCGAGGAAGATACCCCTACGATTTGGTCTGCTGTCAGCCCCGGAAACATTACCGACGTCAAGGCCTACGTATATTCGACTTTAGGTGGTAGTGACTGGGTCAACCTTACTTCTCGTAGCAGAGTAGCAGAGGGAGTCTTTAGCGGTGGCAATGGCTCAAGCATTGCCCAGTCGCTGCCCGTTGAGTTAGTCGCTTTCCGTCCCACCGAAATCACGAAGTTCATTGGAGTCGCGTCGACCGATGCCTTCCCAGATCCGCAGAGCATAGCGCGCAACGCTTCACTTTCCGGCGCTGAAGAGGGCTACTACAAGCTGGTTCACTCTCATATAGAGGAATGGGAGTCGATTCTAACACCAGACTCGGTCGATGATTACCACCTGCCGAATGGATCTCTGCCTGAGGATCCAGACGTGCGGGAGCTGCATATCATGGCGCGAACCAACCCTTTCTACTTATTGTCAAACATGGTCGGACCGAATGCTATAGCTACGGCTAACAACAACACGAAGCTCGACATCTACAGCATACCAGTTTGCGGGTTGGGCTCAGACTGCTATGGAGGTATGATTTTCTGGGATGCAGACGTATGGATGGCACCTGGGGTGCAAGTATCGCATCCGCAGCATGCCCAGAACGTTATCAAATATCGTGTGGAGCACTTCGACCAAGCGCAACGTAATGTCGAAACTGCGTACCAATCGAGCAAAAACCAAACAGGCAGGTTCACGCCTGGAGGGGCTGTATATCCATGGACAAGCGGACGATTCGGTAACTGTACCGGAACTGGCGCTTGCTTTGATTACGAATATCATCTCAACGGAGATATTAGTCTCGCCATGAACAACCACTTGATCATCACTGGAGACGAAGAATACTTCAACGACACCCTGCTACCAATCTCGAACGCCATCGCGCATTTCTTTGGCCAATTGCTGGACTTCAACGAAACCTCTGGCGCGTATGAGCTGTGGAATGCTACCGATCCGGACGAGTATGCTAACCAGGTCAACAACATTGGGTTTACTACGGCACTCATGCAACGTCACTTTCTTGAGACAAACGAGTTCAATAGCTGGTTCGGACGCAGTCCCAACGCTAGCTGGGCGGATAAGGCTTCCAAGATGCGACTTCCAATCAATGAGAAGGCCGGCATCATTGTTGAGTATACTGGCATGAATGGGTCAGTAGCCGTCAAGCAGGCCGATGTTGTTCTGGTGGACGATCTGCTACATTACCCCAACCCCTACAGCCTGTCCAATCTGGACTATTACGCGGCAAAGCAGTCTCTCGATGGTCCTGCGATGACTTACTCTTCGTTTGCTGTTGTCGCGAACGAAGTGTCGCCATCCGGATGCTCGAGCTTTACGTACGACGTATACTCCTCTTCGCCGTACGTCCGCGCGCCTTGGTATCAGTATTCCGAGCAACTCATCGATAACGTTGAGGAGAATGGGGGAACACACCCTGCATTCCCTTTCCTAACTGGTATGGGTGGAACCAACCGCGTCGGTATCTTTGGTTACCTTGGCCTGGGTCTATACTACGATAGACTAGACATTGACCCCACGCTGCCGCCACAGATACCATACCTGAACTACCGTACCTTTTACTGGATGGGTCACGGCATTAACGCTACCTCTAATTCAACACATACGACGTTAGCACGTCTGCCACGAGAGAACTACACTCTGCCCTCAGCAAACGCGACGTACTTCGACAAGCCCATCCCCGTCACGATCGGTACCCGCAGCGGACGCGACAACACAACATACGAGCTTGGAGACGAGCCAATTGTAATCCGTAACCGAGCAATGGGCGAAACCCTTACTGTGGGCGGGAACATACTCCAGTGCAAAGCCCTGCTGCCACCTCCACAGGGAAACAAGCCTGGCCAATTTCCAATTGCAGCCATCGACGGTGCCGCAAGCACGAAATGGCAACCTGAACTCGCCAACACCACGAGCTACCTGACCGTGGATCTTGGTACCTCATCTTTCTACCCAGTGAATAAAGTTGTAATGGACTGGGGTAACCAGCCACCCTCACACTTCGAAGTTTACTTTTCCAATAGTACTCTACCACCATTCGAAAGCCAGTCGGGATCTGATTCTGATTCTGATGTAAGGAACGTGGCGGCAGGAGATGTAGAGATCAGTGCGCCTTGGGATCCGGTTACTGCTTATGAGATCAAGACGTATATTGGCAATCAGACAAATGTCAGCCTGGAGCAGAGTGTTTGGAGCGGACGTTATGCGCACTTGGGTATTCGGGGCAATTTGTTCGCCGAGAACGCTACTGATGGTGGGACGGTTGCGGAATGGAGTTTGGTTCAAGAGGGGTATTGAGCGATAGAGTCTGATGTCTGATGAACACTATGCTAGATATACAAGAAAGATTAGACTTCTGAAATCGCGTAGGATTACGATTTAACCTGATGATGCAAACGCCACTGATCATGTCGAACTCTCCGGAGATTTCTTTACAGACTTTACGTGATTGATTGTTTAGTAACGACAAAGCTGGTACAGAATCCAGCTCCAATCATCTCAAATGTCCCTGGTATACTGATCTCATTCCAGAAACCGCTGACCATGTCGTTCTTAATCTCAATCGCGATATTGGAGAGATCGCCACAGTTTCCGTGCTTACCCCAGCCCCACGATATCAAATTGCCTTCCCTTGTTACAGCAAGTATGTGGTCTGACCCAATAGCAATTTTATCCAGAAGTGGTAAATTAGGTGGTACTAGTTGCCACATATTCTCCTTACCCCACGCGGTAAGGGTCCCGTCTTCGAACAATACAAAGATTGCGTGCCACGTCGCGCCAACGTCTTTCCAATTCTTGATATGATCCGGCATATTCGAGATGATGTTGAACTTGTCTTTCCCGAGTAAATGATGCTGTCCTTCGGTTGGGTCGCCAACCAAATATGTAAAGTCTTTACCACATACAACCTTCTCCGGCTTGAATGGTATGTCCTCAATCTTGGTAGCCACTGTAACTTTGCCAGACAGCGTGCCCCCAAGCTGGCCAAGACGCGCTTTTCCCCAGCCATAGACTGAACCATCGGCCATGACGGCGACATAATGCCAGACTCCCGCTGCAAAGTCTACTACTTTGCCTGGTAGATGGAATCGGGTTGAACCTCCGTCGTCCGAACCCAACTCACCCCAATTGTTGGAGCCGCGAATCTCGACCCAACCGTCTGATGGATTAGGCCCAAGCTCATCGCTTGCGCTCCCGATGAAGGCAGAAGATTCGCATGTAGCTGCGGCAAAGTTGCATCCGGAAGTCAAATTCTGGAAACGGTCGAGTCGAGATTCTGGTGTTCCCTTGACCAGCTGACCCTTGCGATTATCGCCAACCCCGTAGATAGTGCCGCGTTTAGTGACGAGCAGCGTATGGTTGTCGCCGCCTTTGATCGTTTTCAGCTCATCAACAGATTTGCTGTAACTCAAAGGAGTAAGACCAGAAATTCGAGTTGGTGTATTAACTATTTCCGCTGCTGGTATACCGAGTTGGCCTTCCCCGTTACTTCCAAAGACGTATAATTGGAGGGGTGACTCCCGGAGACTTGTGTCTGCGAGTGGCATGCTTGGTTTGTAGTGGCGGTCTTTCGGATGGAAATTCGAGCAAGGGACAACGGAACGGTGTGCTCAGGAAATCGATATGCTTTCACGAAGGGGTGCAGCTATTGTGTCAAATGTTTTGTTTGATGTTATAGTGCTGGACGACTTGGTTTAGGCAGGCTGTATCGGCTGGTACCCCTCTGGTGTCAACAAAAAAGATTGCGGTACATTCAAGACGCATTGTTTGCCAAAGGCACCGGGAAACTGCTCTGCTCCAGTGCCTGAAGGCGCTCGGCGTGGCAAATCCCCACCAAGTCGACGATATAGGCATTAGTCGATAACATGGGAGTCTACAGCCTTGTTAATTTCAGAGAGTTTTCTTGACGCAGACTGACGTGAACTACAAGAGGAGACACTATTCCTAAGTTCAGTTTTTCCCTTGTACAAGCCCTGAAAGATGCCATTGTCCTCGACCACGCTAGCCAGACAAGACGCTAATCGCTTACAGGGATCGCGACGCACGGACACCCACATTCAATTCTAGCCGGCGTTCACGAACTTCACCTCCACGACGACAGCAAAACCGACCACGCCCACCCGTACTAACCGCACGCACATCCCACAGTCGCCCAACATGGCCTCCCAGAGCGTGCAATGCTTCGGCAAGAAGAAGACCGCGACTGGTACGGATAGCCCACCGCCAAACACACAATCAAGAGAATGACAAAGGCTAACAAAATCGCCAACAGCTGTCGCCCACTGCAAGGTACACACGCAATGCCACGAATCGAGCGCGCAACCGAACATGATACTTACGAGAAATTTCTAGGCCGGAAAGGGTCTCGTCAAGGTTAACGGAAAGCCTCTTTCCCAGGTCCAGCCCGAGATCCTGCGATTCAAGGTTTACGAGCCCATCCTGATCCTCGGTGTTGACAAGTTCGGTACGCACACGACGCTCTACGCCAAGTAAAGATGGGGAGCAGGAATACTGACAACATGGGCAGCTGATGTCGACATCCGCGTCCGCGTCTCCGGTGGTGGTCACACCTCGCAAGTCTACGCCATCCGCCAAGCCATTGCCAAATCCATCATCGCCTACTACCAGAAGTACGTCGACGAGCACTCAAAGAACCAGCTCAAGCAGGCTCTGATCCAGTACGACCGCACACTTCTCGTTGCCGACAACAGGCGGTGCGAGCCCAAGAAGTTCGGTGGTCCAGGTGCGCGCGCCAGGTACCAGAAGTCTTACCGTTAAGCGGTACATTGGCTTGCTGGTGGAGGAGAAGAAACACAGAGGGTGTGTGGGGGAGCATGGAGCGGTGTTCATCCTGGGCTTTTTCATGGGGTCTTCTACTGTCTACTATCTATCCCTCAAGGACGAGGTTACGTGACATGGCGCGCAACGGCTGCCTGATACGATCCTGCGGCTTGTGACGATAAAAATGAATACATTGGTTGCAAGAACATGGACAAGGGCATACGGAGTGTGGATGACCATGAACCCCAGTGAGAACATAGGGATAAGCGAATGCCAATTCAATCTGTTCAGGGCAAGTACCGACATGTCCAAAGTGATGCAGGCAGAGGCTTGTGAGGTTTGACTGATGCAGTGGCACAGCGGATCAGACAACCATACCTTGGATGTGTGGCCACACTTTTTACAAACAGAAGCCAAGTCACACAGTCATTCGATGAAGAAGGCAATGGACTCTATTAACGGTCTAACATTTTCATCTCCAACACCAGCGCTTCCATGCATTAACACAAAGATGTCTCCAGTTTACCTCCCCAACTAAGAGAGGTCAAGGCTGTTGTTGGTGTAGCCGTAGATTTTGAGAGGCGAAGGCTGCTAACCGTCGCTACCGCTGCTCCTGAACGCAGCACACAATGCCGCATACTGGTGTGTGAGATCGAGGACGTGTTGTGGTAGGGAGGTGCCCTGGATGATGCTGCGGATCTTGACGGCACCCTCTTCCTCGATGAGTTTGCGGATTGTGTAGAGGAGGGATGGCGAGAACTGTCTTCTGTTAGTACTTGCACTCTTGTGGTTTGGGCAACGGAACTCACCTCAGAGTACCATCGATACTGCCAAGTGACCAATCTGATCAGCGCGGCTGTAACATCCCTAACCTGTTTTCTCTCCTCACCCAACTTCAACACACCCCTCATGGCTTTCGGCGAGAACTTGATTTGCAGACAGTTCTCATATGCTTCGACGGCCTCTTCTGTGTGATGCAGTCTCTCAGCGAGTTCACCCAAAATTTCCCATTCCTCACTGCTCTTCTTGTATAGGAGTTGCTGCTGCCTGTACTGTGCCATCTCTGTTCGCCATATCGTATATACGCGAAGATCCTCATACAGGACCATGAAGAGGTTGTCAAGCCAGCGTTCGCAAAGACGCTTGTTCTGGAAGTGTGTATAGTTTGGTTGCGAGGGGTTGCCGTTGTTTGCGGAATCGTGTGCGTGCGGATCTTCGCTGCCGGCCTTTACGACTTCGGATGCAACAGTGTGACCGGGCTTCTCGAGGTCGTGAACTGCTTCAGCAGCCGCGGAGGATGATTCGCCGTTCGCATTTGATTCATCTACGGAGGATCGCTCCTCAACCTCGCCATGTTCGCCATTCATTTGTTGAGCATGCGTGTTCGGAGAAGGGGAGCGGAGTGCTGTTGTGCTGGCGCTGCGAGAATGCGGTACCTGTGCGGTCTTCTCGTGACGATATTCTTCCTCCATGACGAAGACCTGGCTTCTTATCTTGAGTAATTGATCCCATCCAATTTTCTTTGTGATTTCGGTGAGCAGAATATAAGCTTTTAGGAATGTACCCTTGAATCCTGCAGCGTGCAGTTTCCTCAGGGTTGGGTGCACAAGCTCCATATCGTCCATGCTAGAATCCTCAATCTCGTCGCACATGGCTTCGGGCATGACTGGCAGGAAGACTCTCTGCGGCTCTGGCATGCGTGGCGCGTCCTTGTCCTGGTAGGTAAACATTGGACATGAGTTTAGAGTTAACAGCGCCATATCCCACTGTTCGAGGCTGACGTATATTTCCGCTAAGCGCGCCCATGTGCCAAACTCACTAGGCGCAGACACAACGCTCCTCTTAGCGATCTCAAGTGCCAGATCACCGCGGCCCTTTTTGTTGCAAAATTCGGCTTGACAATCGAGGAGGGAGTAGTCCATGGGCAGTTCCTGGATCGCCTCGTGTAACAGCTGGACCGCCTGCACCTCTTCATCTGCTTCAATGTATACTCGTGCTAGTAGTGACGAGATCTCCGGGTCGCGAGTTCGCAGTTTTTCAAAGAGATTGATACCTGAGGTATACCTGCCGGTTGTGTGGATGTAGTCAAGTAGGCCGGTAGTCAAGTGATTCGAGACAAGATTGGGGACCTGGATCTCAGGGTCGGATCCCAGTTGCCAACCTGAAGTGCGTTAGCGGACATGCTATCATATTGGCAGTTGGTCTTACCGTTGAAGAACAGGCGCTCAGCCGCATCCAGAAACTTGTGTTCGCTCTCGGTACTTGTGATGGGGTTGAATCTTCGCACACCAACAATCTTCTTGATAGTGTCGCCTGAGCCATCGTCGGCATAGGAATATGCGCGCAGCACACTGCACAGGTAGGTCTCTAACCACAGTTCGTCGGTGGCCACTCGCTTGTCGCCGCGCTCGTCGATGCAGTAACTCTCCACTGTGCCGGGAATGTAGACCTGCACGCGCATATCCAGGCGTGAGAAGGCATTGTAGCAGCTGCTTGGTCAGCGGTCGCCTATACTATAAGTAGACATTGCCCTACCAGTACAGCCCCGAGACGACCTTGTTTTGCTTGTCATGCGCGGAGTATGTGAGGGTGTTGATATAGGCTGCCAAGCTGGCAGACGAGGAAGCGTCTACGCCGGATACGTGGTGGTAAACGCCAATCTAATCACATGTCAAACCGGGCTCGCGGGCTACTGTACGGTCGAAGGTACTACGGACCTGTTTTGTCGCATTCTTGATGGGCTGCTTTATGAGGTGGACCAGATCTGGCGGGCCCAGTTCTCGTAGCGTTTGCAGAGATTCTGAGCGCGCTTCGATTGCCGAGTGTAGCTCGTCCTCATAGATTCTGGAGTAATGTCAGACGGGCCGTAAGGAGATGATGCGCCATGGCAGTATGTGGCGATATAGGAGCAGGAAAAGAGCAGCGGATGTGCGCATATATAAAACATGTATAGATTGAAAGCTAGTAGGATGCGCGTACTCAGGAACAGCTGGCGAAGTGACCATGGTTGCAATTGGCGCCGCAGAAGCGGGGGGACGATCGCGGTGCAAAGGATGCTATGGCGGGGTGGGTGCTGACCGAGGGGCCCGGTATACAAGGTCACAGTCAGGCGGAGGTTTGTCAGGGTTTCGGTGTCCTCGTCGAAGCATGGAGGGCAGGCACGGGCAGCTCCATCGCGGAGGACCGCAGCTGCCAAGACGGGTCATCCCTGCGCTCCATCATTCACTGTCGCGTCGCGTCACACCGAGGCCACAAGACGTGTCATAGCACCCGACCGTCGCATAACGCTTTCTTTGTCTATTGTACTGTCGCGCCACCCATGCTTGCCTGCTGCTCGGTGTCTGCGCTACCAATGTTGTAAATCGTGTCTCGTCCGCCCTTAGGCCTTTCACAACTTCCTACACCTCCAACATGGCAAGTACAACCCCGGGGAATTCAACCACCCTCGCTGACTGGTCGTAGTCGAAGGCTTCCACCTGGCATCCCTATAATATCGAACTCCCCGAGGAGACCGCCGAAGAGGAAGTCGATAATACTCAGGAGATCCAGATCGAAGAGGCGCTGAAGCTGTACCAAACCGCCCTCAAATACCATTCCGAAGGCCCTTCCTCCTTCGACAAGACCGCCGCCGCCTACAAGGCCCTCTTCGAATCAGAGATCTTCAAATACGCCGAATCTCTCTCTGAATACCAGCGACATCAAGTCTTTGGCGAGGACCTGGTGTTCGACACCATCTTGGAGGATGACTACGAGGCAGGGCCCGTTCAGTCTACAGGCGCTGCCGATAGCGCCCCCAACACACTTCAGCAGATACTACACCTATCATACAAGAACCATGGCCAGTTTTTGCTCGAGGCGATGCAGCATTGGATCACCACAAGTGGTGCGGCACTTCCGAGGGAAGCGTGGAACAACACCCGTGGTGCTCTAAACTACTTCGCAGAGGCGCTGGACAAAGAAGATACCGATCTCGATCTCTGGTTACGCACTGCATCTGTCGCGGCTATGCTAGGCAGTAAGCGTCTTACTCGCTACTGTCTGGAGGCTGTCTTGGACGGCAATGATGAACAATGGGAGAATCTGTTGCGTCTTCCTGGCCTTGAGGAAGGTTTTGCCGGACAACAACTGCGGGAGCTTGTGGAGCGTTTGGAGGATAATGTCTCCTTGAGCCAGGCACCAATATCCTCGATCAAACGCAAAAAGCTGTCCGAGACGCTGAAGATGCGTTTAAATCCTTTCCCATTTGCGCCTCTTCCAGCCGATGTTGCCCTTGCTGAAAGCCTACACAACATCAAGACGGGTTCGGAGAGCGTAACCTTGACTCCTACCAAATGGGATTGGGCAGGCGTGGGTGAAATCATTGTGCGGCAGTTCCAGGCGGAGCAACAGGGCATGACACCCAACGTACCTTCAGGATCGAATATAGTCTTCAGCATACCACCCGAGAGCGAGACCCCCGAGCGCATCGAACCCGACACTATACAGGAAACCGTATCGCCTGCACCTGAATTAACACCACCACCCCAGATCGAGGAGCCTATAGCTAGTGCTGCTGACGTGGAAACTGTCACCGAGAAGGATGGCGAAGATACCATAATGGAAGAGCAGGATGTCGAGAGCGAAGTCAAAAACGAGGAAATAGCGCCTGCTGGTCCTTCTAATGTCGCACCAGTTCCATCACGCAAGCGATCCACAGACTCTGCCGGTCTGCCCGAAACTGCAGAAGGGGGAAGATCGCGCAGTAAACGTATTCGAGGTCGAGAGAGCTTGATTGAACCAACTTCTGGCGGAGCAGCTCAGGAGGCGAGCAAGCAGCTGGATGCACAACTCGAAACATATACGTACACAGACCAATGTCGCTACGAGATTCTTAAAGACACGTATGCGCGACTCGGTGTCGAAGGCATCAAAGACCCTGAGGAACTACGCAAGCTGGTCACAGCGCTCCCGGATGCAAACGCTACGGATCCTATCGACAAAGCGGCATGCGATTTCTTCACAGGACTACGAAGTGGGCATATCAAAGTTGCCCAAATACTTCTCAGTTCCGAGTCGTTTGATCTCCTTGGAGCGACTAGAGAACATGGGCTGAATGCGTTTCTCGGTTTCTCTAAAGCAACCTCAAGTCAAGCCTCTAGCAAACCTCTGTTGGGCAGCGAGGGGTTGAATGCCTTCGCAAGGTCTGTCAACAATGGTTGGCTTCCTATTCAAGAAGTCGCGTTCGGTTGGATTGAATCTCTGTTCACACCGGGATTCTGCTCACAGCTAAGAGATCAGTCAAGCTACGTGCAGTTCAGATGGGCCGAGGACCTCAAGCGCAACGTTGTGCAAGTCATTGTTCATATCGATGAGTACATTTATGAACGCATGGTTGAGCGCGTCGACAGCCTTAATCGACGCATGCTGGGCGCTACACATCAGTCTCAGGTGTATGAGCTTTCCGACTTTGACAATTCGCAGATAGAAATTGTGGAGACGTTGTTCGAGCTGCATCTTGACATCTATTCCTTGATCAAGCATCCACAAAGTGTAATAGACACTAGAACCCAAGTCCTTCAAAGTGACCGTCTGGAGCGATGGTCTTTGCTCGCGCGAGAGGCTCTACAACTACGGTCTGACTGTCGACCAAGTCAGGGCACCGATGATCTAACTCTGCGCCACATTTGGGCGACGGTCTTCCAAATGAGTGTTAATAACGAGGTAGCACCAGAACATGTATTGTCTGCCATGGCGGAGTTGAAGGATATGTTCGAGCCTTTGGGCGATCATACGATTCAATTACAAAACAATGCTGTCATGCCGGAATTGTCGGTGGCTGCTATTGAGCAAGAACTCGTGCGCATCAGCATGAAAGACTTCTTCCTGAAGGTCTTCGACCAGGAGGAACAGGATCCAGTAACGGTCGTAGAAAGCCTGGAACCGATCTTGGAGCTTGCGAATGCTACTGAGCTCAATACACCCCCGAAGCCAGATGGAACGGAACATGGCGGCACTGATACATCCATCTCGCCCTCCACAAGTACCAACTCCGAGCAGCAACTTGATCGCGCTTCACCCATCTTGGAGATGCGCAAATTTCTGGATTCTGCGAACGTCAACGTCCGGCTCTCCCTTTGGAACAGATTACGTGTCGCTTATGAGGCTATCGATTATCCTTCCAAAGTTTTGTCATGCTTCCTCCGGAGCATTGAGGCCCTCGTGACGGATCTGAGGTCTACGACTTTCCAGGAACTTCCAGTACTAGACCGGCAACATAAGCTGTTGACCCGGTACCGGGTCATCGACGACATGGTTGTAAAAATCATTCAGATCGTTCGAGATAATGAAGCACCATTCGCATCCATTCCATACGAGCATGTTCAATCGTCCATGTCAGCTATCACCGAGCTGTTGCACATCATGTCAGCGGCAGACATGCTCCGAGACCTGATTCGCGTCAACCATATTCCTATGCCTAGAGTCGAATCCCAGCCAAGCTCAGCATTTGTCAACATGATGTCACGGCTTGACGACATTCACCTACGACTCTGGATATTGCAGTACCACTTACTCAAAGATGGGATGTCTCAAGAATCGGAAGCGTTCCCCAATCCGTCGGATGATTTGTTCGAGTACATTCGCCATGTGCACCATGCCACAGGTGTGCGTAGTTTCTGCCATCTTTCCAACCGCCAATTCTTGAGGCTTGCGAAAGACGAGCTGCTACGCATGGACGATATTACCGATGGCCCTAGTCATGCCACCGAGCTCTGCCAGATACTCAACGATCTGTACGGATTGAAGTTGTTCGTTGATCCTCTGGAATGTCAGAACTTCCAGACCACAACAGACGTACTTGACAAGAAGACTGCCTTTAGTATATTGTCTTTCACGATGTCGCAAGCTGCAAAGGTCGATCTCAAGGACCTACCCAAGCACGAACTCAAAGGCACCATAGAGAAGGTCCATGCTGCTCTTGGCCGACCTAAGCAGAACGAGGACATCACCTTCAACCGCAAAGTCATATCTAGTTACTTCAAATCGCCCGTCAATCCTGTAGCACTTTTTGGATGTCTCAAAGGTGTTGGTTCGCTCGCCACAAAGCACATCCCCCCTGAGGAAGCGGTAGCCGCATCGAAGGGATGGTACTATATGATGGGCAACATGGCGCTGAGCAAGTTCCGATCACAGAAACGTGTAACCCAAGGACCAACAGAAGACCTCAACTACGCCCAAGCGTTCTTCGTGCAGGATCTGGAGCATTCCATCGAACGTTGGGAGACCTGGTATCGTCTTGCCCAAGCCAACGACACGCAGCTCGAAGAAGCCGTGTCCTGGAACGCGGATAAGATGAACAGTAACAGCGCTGAAGTGGTTAATTTCCAACGTGCGGCGATCAACTGTTACATCATGGCTGTGGCATGCGCTACTCGCGATGCTGACGTAGCGCCGGGAACCCAAAGCAAGATCGCGCAGATGTACACTGAGTTCGGGAATCGTATGTACGCGTCGTCCAGGGAGCCGTTTGGTATGGAGGCATTCCAGATTCGCGAGAGTGAGAAACGATTCTGCAATCTACAAACGAACGCGTCCTTGTACAAGGAGGTTGTTTTCGTTCCGTTGCATGCCTACACTGCTTGGAAGTTCGCAAGCACTCTTTACAAGAGAGCTATCAAAGGAAATCCGAATAAATGGTGGAACCACTTCATGCTTGGAAAGTGTGGGTGGAAGATGTGGTCGGCCAATGATAGCGCCTTGCAGTATGGGAAATCAATAGGTGCACCGCTGGGCCCTCAAAAGGGGCCCACCTGGGAATCTGTCGTGGACGCCTTTGTGAGCGCCATTGAGACACTGCCAGGGAAGAAGGGCCGCAGCGGCGAGCCTGTCCTCGAGCCGCACTACAAGCTCGTATCCATCACACACAAGTTACACCAGCGTGGAGCCATCAACTACGAAAAGGGGCCTGAGATCCTTGCAAACACTTCCTATGCACAGAATATCAAAGCCCCAGAGAACGAAGGGGACTGGCAGCGATACATACTCGCAGTCTTGAAGTCACTGCGCGCAGCCGACAAGTCAAGCTGGCACCATCGGATCATATCTCGCGTTGCTCATATCATCTACGATACCGGTAGAGATCCGGCAACTGCTAGTGAGGCTAAACACGAACTCACCCAGCAAATGTTCACCAAAACCATGGCTGTCCAAGTCTGGAAACCTGAGAATGAGCGGCCTGGTCGGCATTTTGTCTACACCACTCGGTACACCAAGTTCTTCATTGAACTCCTGGATCTCACTGGAGACAAGACCAACTTCGAGGCTCTTGCCAAGCGTGTAAGGCGGAAGCAGACTGACTTCTTCGAGCACCAAAAGCTGTGGCAGGACTTGTGTCTACGATACATCAGAATGCTGCGAAAGATGGGTAGCGTACCTGAAGGCCAAGAAGACTCTGCTTTCAAGTCCGTCAACCACGACGAGTTTAACACCCTGGCTCTTCGCTTGGAAGCGTGGTGTCAGAATCCAGAGACGCAGCATCCCGTGTTGGACATTCTCCGTGATGCCATTGAGCTCAAGCGTCTGAACAACGGCATGATGAAGCCCCTTCTTATCGATGATCTGATTGGCGATGCGTACGCAATGCTATACACCTCGATCGGGCCTGCGCTACCCCCCTTACAGTCAGAGCAACAACCACAGCCGCCTGTGCAGCCTACCCAACCTCACCCGTCTCCTTTTGCTCCCAATCCAGCTTCTGCAGGTGCTGTACCTATATCCTCGTTGATGCAGGTCCAGGTCGATGGAGCTGCTGATGGAAGCTCTGGCACGCCGTTCAGCATGTATCATCCCAACCAGCTCCAGCCACAACATCCGCCTTCCGCACCCCAGATGCCACCGCAACCCGAACAGGTCCCGAAACCAAGAGCCAAGGCTGTGGGTCGCAGGGAGATCGCTCGTCGAGCCGAAGCATGTGTCCAAAAAATCGCCAGTACACCTGCTCAGCCAACGTCGATGCCGATCCGATCGCCTGCGCCTGGTGACACCACGATTCCTTCTATTGTTGGACAAGCGGCATCACCCGAAACCGCCGCACAACCCGCACCTGGACCGAGCACATCTGCTGAACACCTACAGCCCACGTTCGACAAGAGTGGCACGGACACTGCAGCTGCCAGTATAAATAACGACGAGCCCGAACGCAGTGCGCCAGCCTCTATCCACGATGACGCCGACGACGAGAGCGAACTCAGCGAACTGGACGAGGACGAAGTTGAGGAGATTCATCAAGAAGTTCAAAACGACAATCTGCGTCGATCTGTATCCATCGCTGGCAAACCTCTGTTTCCCAATCTGGCAGCTAGTCGAGCTAGCCCTGTAGAGAAGAGAACTGAGACGGTTTCAGGAGAGGGCAATGCTGGGTCAAAGAGTGCGCCAGTAGATGACGACGACGAAGATACTATCCACGTCAATGTACGTGGTGCTGGAAAGAAGGACGTGGATGAAATGGACGTTGACACTGAGAAGTAGTAAAATTCTCATGACTATGGGTTCAGTGATGCGTTAAGAGATTTGACATTCTGTTTATATACTTTGTACTACTATAGATTCGGCGTACAACGCGTTAATGGTCATTTGTCATGGATGGCGCATCACGGGGAACGTGGAGCATGTTCTTTCTAGATACCCATCATATAGGGCTGTATGCGTAACACATGTACTGCACTTTTCTTTTTAATCATCAACAGAGTTTGGCAAGGACGATGTGGATAGTGAGTCTGCATGAATGCATTTGTGGCATGCGTAAAAAGATTATTCAGAATCTAGCCAATCTATATGATCTTGAACTAGTAGTCTCTCTCGATATAATGGATTATCAAACTGTCCACTTTGCTTTCTGATTGGTACCATCACCTTATATTGTCACTGATCTACGCAAATGCCTTACTAGTGATGCGGTACTCTATGATCTCTTGCAGAAATTAGTAAGACATAGTTCCGCATGCTTAGACGTTTCTTACTTGTATTTTTTATGTCACGTAGCAAAAATTGCAGGTCGTCGCTTCAACGGTAACAGATACTGAATATTCTATTGCGACAAGAGTTTTACCTATGGGAAGCTCGCATGAAGACGCAGCGATTGCTCAAACGCAATCTGAGCCGACTCATATAATTATCTACGCCCGAAGTGTGACAGACTTTGATAGGAGGGTGCAGCAATCTAGAAAAGCATATGCTTACTTACATCATAACTGTCGTGTTACATGTGTTTGTCTCGTAGGTAGACTTGAGAAAGAAAAGCACACTTTTCATCTATTCACTGCACTCCTACGCAAATAACATCTACATTAGCAAAAAGAGAGCGCATGGAGTTTACATCTTGTTCGTTGAGTGACGGGCCAGGAGCAAAAAAAAGAATGTCGCAATTTATTGGCGGTACTGGGAACTGTAGACATGTTAGAGATGTCTCAGGACCGACAATGTGCGGATGAACGTACTCGAACCCAGGCTGGCGCGGATCTGGATCGGGACACTAGGTGTCCGCCAGCCACAACGCGACGTCATACCACTAGACCATACCACGATGGGGTTGTTAGCTGGTGTGTATTGACGAGGCAGGTGAATTGAGCTTACCCGAAGTGATTCGTTTTGATGGAAAGATCAAGATTTGTTGGAAATATATTGTTTCTTTGTAGATGCCAGCCGCGCCGTCGAGCTAATCCGCACCATGTGAAAAGGCGTGTTTGCATTGCAGAATTTTGGACGTGGTGCGGGGTCATGTGGGTCTGTGCTCTCCACTGATGGTGGGGCTGGTTTTCTGGTCGCGTCCGACGCGCTCTTTCTCTACCCAATCTGTGACCACAAAGCAGCACGCCTGATAGCTCGAAACACCTATGGGTATGTACTAAGACCTTCACATGTGAGATTCCATGTTGTTTGATCAGAGCTTCTTCAGTCTGCTTGTGGTATTCTCAGCATTCTGAGCTTGTTAGACCTCTGGGTGAAGAAATACACTCGGAGCTAGTGCTGTATTTGGCGACCTTGCTTGCGTCTCCAACGTGACTGGACAGCACTGACGCTCGCATTAGACCATTCGTCACCCCGGCAGTCGCGAGGCAAACAACTCAAGTCCTATCGCGTCGGAGAAGAATACTCGTTCCTTGATGAGGATGAGGATGGCTCCGTGCCTTCTGGCACGCAGACCCCAGCCTTCCAGGGCGATGACGATGACGACGACGATGGCGACGCCTTCATGCCAGATGCCCAGGATGGTGAACTTGAGTATGACGAAGATGAAGAGGTAGCGGAAGAGGATGAAGATGTATCGGAGGAAGAGGAAGACGACGATTCCGATGAGGATTCTACGGGGCCTCCAAGACGCAACGCGCGTGGACCGAAGGCTGTTCGCGCTGTGCCAACCACCCCGGCAGTCCGACGCGCTAAGAAACTCACAGACAACATTCCCTCACCCGTAACGTTCGCTAAAGGCAGTGGTGTTAAGGTACGTCCTGTGGATGCCGACGCCCAGTTGCGGACGCGTGGTATCCCCGACTTCGATAAGATTGGTGGTCATGAGCCACGATTAAAAAATCTATTCGGTCCAGATGCAGCGCATCTCAAGCCCGTCCTGGCCTCACGCGACTACTGGTTTCCACAGGAAACATTCCCCATTCGAAGTTTCGCCAAGGTCAGTTCCGACGACGCTGATGTCGGCAGCTTAAGAAGAAGCTTCTTCGAAGTTAGCGGTGCTAGGGAAAAGGAGAGTGAAGCATTGAGGACATGGTATGCCGATACTGGAAAGTCCGCTTTTGCAAGAGCCCAAAGAACGAAAACATTGACCAAGGATGAGGCCAAAGAGTACATGATGACACCAGGGCTGGAGACTGTGAACGTGCTAGCTGGACCCGTGAACACGCCCCAAGTCAACACATTGGCGAAAGGTTCGTACATGAACATTGCGAAACCATTCCCAGCAAGTCAAGATAGACGCGGTTGGCTCTTCAATTTCGGCTCATGGATACAGGATGCTCAATGGGCGAGCAATGAAGACAGCAATACCCAATATCTCGCTGTTGCTGTTGAGCAGAGACTGACGAGCGAGGACCAGCCCAAGCCAATGGAGCAGCCAAAAGCACCTGCCTTCAACCCTACTCAGCCGTTTCCTGCGTGTATTCAGATATGGGCGTTCCAAGCCGAAGACGAAGGCTTCTTGAATGCAAAGACAGAGCCTAGACTTGAGCTTGTTATCTGCGCTGACTGGGGCGCGCCGAAACAACTAAGATGGTGCCCGATCGCAGCGACAGACGACAATCGAAATTCGGATGGTCGGAGAAACACACACATAGGCATACTCGCCTGCCTTTGGTCGGATGGACGAGTGCGTGTATTAGATGTATCCGCTCCGGTTTCTGAGCCTGACCTACACGCCCCTACTTATCTTCACGTTACGCACGCAGCGTTTGAAGTCTCATTTCCTCAAACAGTACCTTCCTGTTTACACTGGTTGTCGGGGACTACGCTCGCAGTTGCGACAGCGGCAGGTACTGTCGGTATCTGGTCCTTGACCCATCCAGGAACGCTCGCAGCGTCCGAGGCCAACAATTACAGTCCAAGACCTTGGTTTTATCAGCAAGTAGCCGACACATACATTCTCACGATATCATCCGGATGGCCATCTAATCCTCAGTTTCTGTCTATAAGTACCGCAGATGGATTTGCGCGCCTCATTGACATAAGAAGTCCGACTGCTGATACTGTTGTTTCAATACGCGGTCGCACACTATGTCTAGCGCAAGCCTGGCATGAGCATACACAGTCTTTTGTCATGCCAGACGAACACTATATCCTAAGACACACACCCATACGTCGCTACTACCACAACTTGTACAGCATGCGACTAGAAAATAGTATCACTAGAGTCGCGACAAGCCCGGTACACCCCGGTGTACTTGTCGGTGGAACCGATGGAGATGTTCAAACAAGCAACCCGATCATGCGTATCACAAACTACAAAATCATGCCATGGCAGCAGAAATGGTTCGTACACGAATGGAGAGGACCGATGGAGCGGATGCTAGTCAAGCCGACTGATGCAGATGTTGTGGCGGCCGAAGGAGGGCCAGTTGAGCAGTCGAACAATGACGCCACATCAGAACCGCAAGTGGGGGCGTCTGCTGATGAGGCCAAGAAGGTACCCCAAGAAATACTTTCCCAACCTCTCGTCCGCATCACCGAGGGTTACAAAGCAGGTCAAACAGGCATTGCGCACACCAGTGCAGCTACCAAGAGAAGAAACCCAGAAGTTGGAAGGTCCATCAGTATCTTCGAAGAGCAAACTGCTATTACAGCACTCGCTTGGAATCCAAATTTGAAGTTCGGTACATGGGCTGTCGCGGGCATGGGATCTGGGCTTTTGCGCGTGGAGGATGTTGGTATTTGAAGAGCAAGAAGAGGGTGTGATAAGAGAAACCCAAAGGGTAAAACTACATATATAATTCATGATTCTATTGGCTTTCGTCATGTTCGTACTACGGACTTCTTCTAGTTGACTGGCCTCAGTTTGCAAACCAGAGGCTTCTTCTCCCAGAGAATGTAGGTCGCCTGTTCTTCCCAGTTGTTGCTCTCGGGGCAAAGCTCGATATCGAAGTTATACAAGGTTTTGGCGATTATAAGACGCATCTCGTGATATGCCATGCTTCACCAATGGTTAGCGTCTGATCTACAAGAAATACACACTAAAAGATGACAAGGTTTTGACTTACTTCTTACCGAGGCAATCTCTAGATCCAATAGAGAATGGCTGAAGGCACTGCCTCTCGTCGGCATCAAACTCGGGGTCACCCAACCATCTTTGTGGAAGAAACTCAAAAGGTCTTTTGAAGTTCTTCTCGTGTGTATACATCGCGTGTTGAGGGATGCTCAGAACCACGCCGGGTGGTATAAATTGGCCCACGACAGTGCTGCCGTCCTGCGGTGTAAGGCGCGGAAGTCCTAGTGGAACCGGTGGGTAAAGACGGAAAGCTTCCTTAAGGCATGATGCTAGATACGGCAGCGCGGCGAGCTGTTCCATGGTCATATCAGCATCACTGGCAAAGGCGCCACGTATCTCGTCGTTGAGCTTCTCCATGCATTCAGGGTTACGCAGAAGCAAGTACGTCAACCCTGATACCAGGGTAGCCGTTGTCTCAGTTCCGGCAATCATGAAAATAGACGAGTTCGCATCCATCTCTCCTCTGGTCAAGCCTCGTCCCTCCTTTTGGCCCAACACAAGATCCCAGAGGTCGACACCCTCGGTATCTCGACCCTTATCGAGGCGTTTTGTGACGCGCGTTACGGAGTGGTTGAAGTGATCCATCCTCCTCTTGTTCACAGACTCAGGTACATATTTCTTGAAAGCCCTCCATAACCAAGGATATGCCATCATCACACTCAAGTAAGATCCCACCTTGAGACTTGCAAAGATGGTGCTGACCCAGGGATCGTAATCGCCCTTATCAAGCATGTGCAGCGGTTCTCCGAAAGTCAAATCG